ATATGTAACTTTGTGTATCGACTTAATTATTTATACACACCAATTTGCCACTTACTTGGCAAAATGTCTCCTACATTACCTGACTGGAAAGTTCCATGATTTGCAGGTAAAGAAATGATTTAAACACATCCCCATTGTTTGTGTGTATTGGGCTCATCTGCTTTGATGCATAAAATGTTTGTACAGCAATCTTATTATTTTTGTAGGATGCTTCATAGGGGAATTACTGCTTTTTTCTCACCCCAGCTCACTCTGCCCAGCCCTGCAGTACACCCCCTCTTGCTCTTTCTAGAACATTCCAGACATGCTCCTGGAATTTCACAGTTGTTGGCCCCTCCCCCTGGCCTGCCCTTCCCCCAGATGGCTACAAGGCTTCCTTCCTAAGTTCCTCGGACTTTCAGCTTTTCCTCAAGACTTACATCCCTCCCTTTGCCCCTTCTCTGCTTCTCTCTGTAACGCTCTGATTGTCTGACTTTTTATATTTGTACATGATGTGTCTCCTCTCATTGAAATGTACGCTTGCCTGGGGAAGGGTTTTTGTTGTCTTTTTTTTTGCTTCTGCATGCCTGGTACTAGAACTGTGCCTTAATAGGTACACTGAATCAGTGCTTTTAAATGATTGACTGTGTGCATGAGCAAATGGCTTGAGTGGAGAGGAGACACCTTCTTAAAGGTTTTGACACATCGCCCAGTTGACATCTGTGGTGGTTTTTTGAGTGATATGCCAACTGGAAATGCATAAAAGCACCTGTTTCCCAACAGTTTTTACAGTGGTGGATTCTTATTATTGTCCTCCATTTTGCCAGTTGGATAGATGGCAAAGGTGATTTTTTTTTGCTGATGTTATTTTTGAAGATTTCATAATTTTTTCCTATTCACTTAGTATAGAAGAGCAGCTCTTACTCTGTCTCTTTTATTACAGAAGGATGTCCTTTTTTAAACCCTTACCCTAACCTCCACCCTACTATGATTATCTCATGGTTGTCATGGTTCACTTCTGGTGCAAAGGGCATGAGACTACCATGATTATGTAGGGGGTGGTTGTGGTGATTCACTTACTGGTGCAAAGGTCAAGAAGACCGCCATGATTATATGGTGTTGTCATGATTCACTTCATGGTGCTGAGGAGAGTACTGATTTCCTGTAGGAACTGGATAAAATCAGGATTCTGTTAGCAAATGAGAAGCTGGGAGGTGCTCATGGTGTAGCTCAGGTCACGTGTGAATTCTTCGTTGGTTGACTAGTGCCTTATCTTTTATAATGGAGCAAAGGTGCTACACTTGTAAGTAATTTTTATTGAAATACTTTATGATCACTATCAAGACTTGGAAAATACAAAGAGACAGAAGAAAAAAATATCCATGAATCCCACCATCCAGATAACTGTGTTGTTAATTACCATTACTAAGCTTTCCCTACATTTCCTTGGGTCTTTTTCTTTGCATACTTTTCTCTTAATTTGGTAGTTCTGTATATGCTTATGCCAGGCAGTCTTTCCATCTAAACCTGTAGCAATAATGTTTTCATATTTTTTTTTTATAAACTGTGTGCAGTTTCATGCCTGTATGATTTTCCATGGATCTTGGATGAGTTTCATTTCTGTTCTGATCTGGGGGTGTAAAGTGGTCCCCATCCCCGGATTGAGCAGTAATAATGCCATTGTATGTATCTTAACGTAGGACACTTTTTCAATTTTCAGGATTGTTTTGAAACTGTTGTGAAATTGTCATGTCAAAGTTCGTGAACATTTTTACTGCCAAATTGTTTTCTAAAAGAATTACCCACTTGCACGCCCAATAGTAATGTTTGCAAGTGAGGCTGTCCTGTGCCAATTAATTTGTATCATAAGGAAATGGGTCATCGACCTGTTCTCTTTTGGACCCGTAACAGTTGGAACTTCGTTCAGAATAAACACTAATAAAAGCTTAAATAACTCCAGTGGCCATGGTTCAGCGGTCCCCTGTGGCGGCTTGTTGCGGATTTTAATAGCCCAAGGGGTTTTGATTTCCTTTTCTTTCCCCCTCTGTTATTTTCCTCCCTCCTGGGTTTACAACATGTTTTCCTAGCTATAGTTAAGCCTCAGTACTTCTTGTTCTGTCTTTGTTGATTAATGAGTATAATTGACCCCTGTTGTCTCTATTATATAAGCCACAGCAATTTGTTTTTATGTAGCAGTTATATTCTGAGCTGTCACAAAACTGCCTTACAAAGAGCGAGCTCATTATCAGCCTGAAGGAAAAGAATTTTAAGTGATGAAGTGACTAAAGGTTCCCAAGAGGAGGGAGGAGGAGGAGGAGAGGTCTAGGCTGTTCAGATAGTCAAGGAAATGAAGAGCTTTGGGGGTAGAATCATTCATCGTTGTGTGGGTACCCAACAAGTCTTGGTTCTATCTTGAAATCATTAGATTAAAAATGGCTCCCCGTAGAGAGAGTCTGGAAGACTAGATAGAGAGGGATTGAACATAGGTCTAAGAAACCAGAGAGCACGACATTTGATGGAGTGGGTTGAAGCCCATGGGAAGTTCATGGTTACAAATGTGATTATAGAAAGCCCAGCTCATGCCTCTGTGGGGGGAGTAGAGGTGACTTCCACATTGGGAAGTTTTATCTGACTATAAAGAATACCCAGGTTTCCATAGTATATCAGAAAATGGGTTGTTATTCACTTATATATATATTTTTTCCTATATGGCCTCCTCCCCCATGATCTTGATGAAATTTTTGTCAGCTCACAAAAGTTACTAAGCAGCAGAGGCCCAGGGAAGAGACATCAGAATGGAATGAGATCTTGCCCTTAGCGAAGTCAGCTTGCCACAACCCCAAATGAATGGGGTCCTTTTGTTGCAGGATTTATCTTGTCTTCCCCTATTCTGTGGAGAGCTTTTAGGAGGTACCTTGTTTCATAACCTCTCTTTATCTACCCTGCCACATTTTTCTCATAGGAAAAGAGGAAGGAATTAACCACAGAAGGATGGGAAAAAATCCTAAGTAGCCACGGTAGAATAATGGATAATGGTGGCTCTCAGTTATGAAATGCAACAGCTAGAGGTGCCTTAAAGATCTTGCCTTTGCTTTGTGAATAAGGGAAGTCGGGCACAGAAGGTTCCAGTGGTTCTCACCTTGTCTCACACAGCTCTGGGGAGAGCTGACTCTCAAATCCTAGATGTCCTCCTTGGATTCTCAGCATTTTGAGCTGTCTTTGGGCAAATTCTTCTGTTCTTACACATTAATGTAAAGATTTGCTGTCCAACAGCTCCAGAGAAGCCATTCGCTAAGTGGAGTTTTTATTAATCGTAAAGAAACTTGCATGATCTTGTTGAAAACATGTTTTGTTGATAAGTGTTCAGAAAAAAGGTGATTTGGTCCCTTCCAGAAACTTCTGACGAGAAGGTCCCTTCTGGAAACCCCTGCCGGAAATCTCCATCTGGCTCTGAAGAGAGGGGTTGGCGGCAAAGACAGGTGGAAAAACTTCCAGAATCTCTTCAAAACTCTCTTCGAAGAATACAGCATCTCAAAACTTGAAGAATTTTAACTCCTGGTTGGAAAGAAATGAGGAGTTGTCAGCCTTGATCGAATGATAGGGATGTCTTGGGAAGAAGGGGCGGAGGGGGGGTTACTTCTGCCATTCATGGTCAGCAGCAGATTGGAGGCCAGGGGTCAGGCTCTGGGCCAGAGGGCAGCTCCCTTCTTGGTTAACCCCATCTCCATCTTCTAAAGAAACTGGTCAAATTGAGCTTCCCTAATGAAAAGAAAATACTACCTTGTACTTGGGAGTACAAATGGAGGTAGGAGGCAACCGGGATCTTGACTTTCTTCAGTGAAGAATTCCTGGAATCACTTTGCAACTGTGGGATTTAGGAACTACAAGTCCCCATGTTAAGTGAATTTGCAGGTGTAGGATTTATGATGATATGGGGAAGAAAAAATGGGGACTTGGCTCAAAAACATACTTAAGAACTCCCTTGTGGATTTATTTTCCATACGCCTAAACCCATCAAGAGAGAGTGCTCAAGTGAAGGTTATGGTGACATTTTACACGGTTTCCGTTGATCCCAATGGCTTCCACTGCTGTCCTTTGTTCACAGGAAATGCAAATGACACTCACAGGAAAAGGTGCTTTTCTCTCCAGGTTAAACTGTACACCCAATGCTATGCTTATTTTAAGATTTGGAACTGTTTACTCTTCCCATGACTTTCCCAAGACCTCCCATGTCCTATCACGGTGGTCATGACATGACTCTTACTTGTGCCCTTCCTGCCACATAAAATGAGTAAAGAACGGGAAAAATCCACCTTGGTAAGATCTGTATTTCGTTAAGTGTAGTATGTGGGAAGAGCTGTGTCTCGAACCCCCTCCCTCCAGGTCTCCAATGTGCCCCTCCAAATCCTCACCCAGACAGGCCTGATTTTGCTGATTCTCTCCTTCCTTCCTCCTCTGTGGTGCACCCCTAAGGCAGGGCTGTTGCTGCCTTCCGTGCCTTTCCAGGCTTTTTGGGGAGAACCTCAGCTCCTTGTTCGCTATGTGTCCACCTACTGGTACTCTTTAAAAAACCATCCCCCAAGGTGGTGTTTTCCAGTAAAGTCTCATGGTTTCCACGACGATACCATGAAGCAAGTTCACGTGAACTCAGGATTTACGTGGAGGGAGGAGTTCCTATAGATTTCTACAAACGTGCTGTGTGGGTGTGTGGTGTGTAGTATCCTGGCTCATCTGCTCTCCCCCAAAGCAGTTCGGCCCCTGCCCCCGCGTCCCACCTTGGCCTGGTTTCCGGGCCCCTATTACACTAACGACGGCACACCTTACGTGCATGTTGGACTTCACATTTTCCCACGTTCCCCTCAGAAATCTGACCTGCTATCCGGAAGCAAGGAGGACATCACCCTCTGGGGCCCTGTCTTGGACCTCTTATTGTTTTAATGAGAGGCCAACGCTAAAGCTGTTCGTTTGCTCTGAGCTTTAGCTTGACGAAGGCTGTTCTGTCTGTGTTTTGCCCCGTGCAGGTTACTCCGGCCAGGACTTCGACTGGGCTGATTATCACAAGCAGCACGGGACAGAAGAAGCCCCTCCCTTCTGCTTCAGAAATGTAAGCAGCTTGGTTCTTACTACTCCTTCTCTCCCAGAGGGTGTCCGCCATCAATTTTGTCGGCTGCTTTCTATTCCCTGGGCGAAACTAGAGGGCTGCCCTGGACGGCAGGAGCATAAGGCTTTTGTAGTCCTGAAAAGTCCTCTTTCGGGTTGTGTATCAGGGTGACTCCGGGCCGTAGTCACAGGAGACGGTCCAGGGTGTTCCTGATCGGCACGTGCTTATGACAGTGTCTGAGCCTCCTGGGAGCCCTTGGCTTCATCATCCGAAATCTAGTGAGCCCATAAGGAAAGGGAGGAAGGAGAAGCTCATTCTGCTTCTCAGCACGGCACCTGATACTGGCATGATACATCATCCACCTTCTGCTGGTTAGAACCAGTCCCTCAGCCACACCTGCCATGAATGAGGCTGGGAGACGTGCCATGGCCAGGGAATTGTTCCAGCCACGAGTCTGTACTGTAGACAGGGGAAGACACGTTTGGGTGGCCCCCTGTGCCACCATTGCATGGGTATTTGCTGTGTGGGGCATACTGTGGATAAGCCCATTGATAGGAGATGCTCTGCCCTTGAGCTATATTCCCAGTATGTGATCGTCAACTTCTTTCCTTGGATCACTTCTGTAAGATGCTAGCCCGGCAGTTCTCTGCTTTGCTTACTTTCCGCCGCTTCCTGGGTCAAGTAGAGCTGTTGGCTTGATGGCCCATGAAACAGCCCTGTGTGAGTGTGTGTGTGTGTGTGTGTGTGTGTGTGCGCACATGCATACTTTAGTTATAGGAGTTGGTCGTATAAAGTAGCTTATAAATTATTGAAACCTTACCAGCCCTAGGAACTACGAAAAGGGATCTGGATTATTATTTCTGTTTTGAGAATGAGGCATAAATATATAGCCTTGTGTGTTAAACATGCATTCAGTTATGGAAGTTAATTCTTTATGCTAAAAAAAGAAAAAAAAAAGACTCAATCCTCCAGTTGGGGATAGTGGATAGTACAGAGAGCGAGAGCCCCTAAATCAAAGACCTTTTCTGGGCATGTGCTCCTAGAGCTGTTGATTCCTTGCCACTCCCTTACTGCCCCTCCCCCCATAATTTGGACTGCGGGGCTCATAGCATACGAGATCTGAGAGGCAGAGGGGTTGGCTTCCTGGGGGAGCTCAGTAGCGAGCATGAACCAGAGGTGGATTTCGAGGAATGAAGTAGGTTGATCGGCGGGCCGGCTTGTACTCATGTACATGGAAACACATCAGTGGAAGAGTTGGAAACCAGGGCTCCTGAAATGACCAAAGGGCCTTCCTCCTGGCCGATGCTGCGTTTGCACAAAGGTTCTTCTGCAGCGTGGAAAGCTCCTCGTGGTGAGTTGAGGTGGTAGGACGGGGATGCTGTGTGGGCATGCCACCGTGAGGATAGCCGCGGGTCAGCTCCCAGGGCTGATCAAGTCCCAGAGCGTCTCACTAGACTCTTTACCAGAGTGCCATCTCTTGTCACAGAGTCCTGGCCTTGTCACCTTTCACTTAGGATGGTGGGCATACTTACCACATCCCCCAAATCCCCTGGAGTTGTGCTTTCTGCCTAACAAAAGAAATACCCCTTCCCTGCCTCTCCAGCCTTGGGAAGGAGGGAAATCCTGCCATGTCCCCTAGTTTTGTATGTAGGGAGTGCTTTCTTCTGTGACAACATGGTTCCACTGCGGCTGCTTTCCACCCATCCTCTGCTCCCATTCCACCGGGCAGCTGGCCATGTGCAGTGTCGCCGTGGAGCAAGTAGTCACATCCCCAGGTGGCCTCTGAGCTTTCAGGATTTAGCTTCCACGATGAAATTGCTCCTAATGAATATGCTGGCGTATTCATTAGGAATGCACTTGTTACAAACATGCCCTCTTTGTTTCTGGCCCTCCGTTTATTTAATCGACAGGGTCGTTATCAGCCTGTTGGCATGTGCATTGCATTACCGATGCTTTGCTGAATTTTGTTAGCTCGCTACAAGTGCTCTTTAATGGAATGCTTATTATGAATTCATTTTTTAATCACACATCTTGTGTGTATGAGAGAAGAGGTGGTGTGGAAGTGGATTTCCCTGGGGACGTTTAACAATCTCCAGGCAGGGCTGAAATGGATTGACACAGCCAAATGCTTAGTAAAATAAACTCACAGGTAACAGTTTTGCTATTGATCTTTATAAATTACCCTCAGGCAGTGAGTTGAAACGAAAATAGGTTATGCGGTTGTCGCTTTCCCTTATTAAGGAGGATAAAATGCATTTTAACTTACTTAGAGGCTTTTCAGGCAGCCTATTGAGTCGTATTATAAAAAGAAGTTCAATACGTTGATGTGGACGGGGCAGGATGACTTGCAGAAAAATAACCCACCTAAAATCTCTGTGTTTCCTATTTCCAAAGAAACATAAAGGAAAAATGCAAATTGCTTTTTCAACATTTGCTGGGTAATTTTGTTCCGGTTACATAAAGATAAAATTGCATTTACAACTTAACCTGCATACGAAGAGTTGTGACTGTGAATAACCTCAGTTTCTCCCCATGGGTCATGCAAGGATGTAGGCTCTGTTATTCACAGGAACCTGTTAATTTCAGTTTATATATTTCAAAATAGATGTTTTCAGTATTGTAATGTCTGATTGAAACGTATAGTAGTGGATGGTTTTGGAAAATTTTATATTTATTTAAAAATAATGCTAGGAGGCATTTTTGCTTTGAGTATTGGCTGAGTATTTATTGGCTAAATTGACCCTCTGGCAGTTAACTATAGATTCTGGACAGGATACCGAGACAACTACCTTGGGGGTGTGGCGAATGAACAAGAGTGAGCAGATCTGGAGGGGAGCAGGTCGCTGGGAAGGAATACGATGGGTTGTGTGATTTACTTTTTTTTCAGACTTTTTTGACAGTTGATGTATGAGGTAACAAAACCAGCAATATAAAAATGACAGTCTTTCTGGCCTGATGAACCAGATAACAGAATTTGGGCAGCCGCAACTGTTGGAAAGTGAAAGGAGTCACAGATAAGGAAGAGCCAGGAGAGAGAACCACAGTTTCTGTGTATAAATTCTGCTTAAGTCTTTTTGGATTGCGTATTTTCCAGGCAAACTCCAGGCAGCCTAGTTAAGGACAAAAGACTGAGTGGGAGTTTGAGCTCCTTCTCAAGAGACAGAGTGTGTAGTTTGAGTCCAAACAAGTTAATTGCTTGCTAAAAGAGAAAAACCAACGCTTTTGGGAAGAACATAACACAATCCAGAGTCTCTGCCATTTAACATTTAAAATATCCAGACTTCAGAGTTGCTCAACATATGAAGAAATAGGAAAATTCTCAGTAGAAAAGATAACCAATGGAGACTAAACCCAGCATGACCCAGATGTCAGATTTAGCAGACATGTTATTTTAAAGCTCCCATTAAGACTAAGCTTGGTGTAAAGCAGTGATTCCCAAAGTGCGGTCTTTGGGTCAGCAGCTCCAGCAAATTCCTGAAATACAAATTCTGTGAACTTACCTCAAATCAAATGAATCACAAACTTTGGAGGAAGGCCCAGCAGTCTTGTTTTTTTGTGTGTTGTTTTTGTTGTTGTTGTTGTTATTGTTTAAGATTTTATTTATTTATTTGACAGAGAGAGAGAGAGAGAGAGAGAGAGAGAGCGAGTGCACAAGCAGGGAGAGCAGGAGAGGGAGGATGCAGGACTCAATCTCAGGACCCTGGGATTATGACCTCAGCTGAAGGCTGACATTGAATCCATGGAGCCACCCAGGGGGCCCCAGCAGTCTGTTTTTAAAAGGTTCTCCGGGTGATTCAGATGTATCCTAAAGTTTGAGAAAAAAATGTGAATGAGAAGGTAGGAAGTTCCAGAAGAGAAGTAGAAAGTATAAAAAAGAGAAATTCTAGGACTGAAACATATAATACCTAACATAAGCAAATTCATCGGAAGGGCTTCCTGGCAGAATGGAGGTGACAGGGAAGAGAGCTGATGACTTTGAGGATAGAAGTGATCCTATCTGAAGAACCGAGAGAGAAAGAAGATTGGGTGTGGGGAATGAGAACAGAATCTCAGGGACCTGAGGGTCGATATCATATGTAGTTGGAGACCTAGAAGAAATGGCCACAGAGACTATGGAAGAGAAAATGTGGGAAGAAACAATGGCCAAAAGTTACCAAAGCAGCTGAAAATACTAAATGCACGGGTTCAGGAATCTCTGTGGGCCCCAAGTAGCATAAATAGGAAGACACCCAGCATAGTCAAACTGCTGATACCCAGACATAAAGAGAAAAATCTTCAAAGCACCCAGAGAAAAAGTGGTAGATCCCAAATAGAGGAACAGCAGTTTGCATGACAGTGAACTTCACATCAGGGACAAGGGACAGCAGAAGATAGTGAACCAGTGTTTGTAGAGTACTGAAAGAAATCAACCACCACAGGTAATGCTTCCTGAATGAAGAGAGAAACAGATTCTTCACCAAGGAAGATCGACAAATGACAAAGAAACGTGTGAAAAAAATGCTCCACATTTAATTTAATGCAAATTCAAGTCATGATTAGCAAGCACCGGACATGTGTTAGAATGGTTAAAATTGGACAACTTGCCAATACCAAGTGCTGGGGATGACGTTTAGCCACTGGAATGCCCCACACTGCTGGTAGGAATGCAATATGATCTATGGAAACTAATTTGGTGGTTTCCTAGAAGGTTAAACATACATTTACCATATGGTCCAGCAATTCCTTATCTAGAGAAATGAAAGCTGCACTCTGGGCTGCATTGTAGTCCCCCAAATTCATACAGTGGAAGTCCTAACCCATAGTACCTCCCAGTGTGACTGTATTTGGAGTTAGAGTTTTCGAAGAGATAATTAAGGTAACATAAGGCATAAGGGGGAGCCTTAATCCAGCAGGACTCGTGTCCATATCAGAAGTGGTAATTAGGACACAGACCACATGCATGGAGGAGAGACTGGAGACAACAGAGCAAGAAGGTGGCTGTCTATAAGCCAAGGAGAGTATCCTCAGAAGAAGCCAACCCCGTCATCTCAGACTTCCAGCCTTTGGAACAGCGAGATAAATTTTTATTGTTAAAGCCACCCAGTGTATGGTATTTTGTTATGGTCTTCCGAGCAGACTCATAAACTCTGTTCACACAGAAACTTGCACTTGAATGTTTATGGTGGCTTTATTCACAATCACCAGAAATTGGAAACTGCTCAAATGTCCTTCAACTGGTAAATGGATGGACTGTGGCACGCCCTAGAAACTACTCAGCAGTAAAACAGAACGAACTACCCGTTCGTGGAGTAGCATTGATGAATCCCAGATGCATTTTGCTTCAGTGGAAGAAGCAAGACTACACAGTGTATGGATCCATTTAAAGTGATCGCACGGAAAAGGCAACACTCTCGGAAGAGGACACGGGTGCATGCTCCTGAAACTGGGAGCCAGGGAGGGACTGATCACCAAAGGGCCAGTGCAAAGGCGTTTTGGAGGTGAAGGGACTGCTGTGCCTGTTGATAGAGGTTATCGCTGCGGGACGCTATACACATTTATCTAACAGCCCGAACCCTCACGCAACAGGGCACCAAAAAGAGTGAATGTTCCTAGGTGTAAATTTTTTAAAAAGTGAATTTAGAAAATAAATAAAAGGAAGCCAAAGCCACAAATTAAAATAAATACGGTTCCAGATAAAACTGGGATGTCACCACCAGCTGACCTACACTAAAAACAGCGCCCAAGAATGTTCTTCGGGCTAAAGGAAATGATGCCAGATGGAGACTCAGGCCGCCTCCTTGCACCCACGAATGTGCCCAGGCCTGCTTCGAGCGAGGTATACAGGGAAGGAGGAGAAATGTGCGCCTCAGTGATGGCGTAGAAGTAAGGGTGCATACGGGGCTTGGCAGAGAACGGATTCATCATCTCCTTCAACAGATATCTGTAGGCACCTGCGGTGTGCCCGCAGAGCTCTCATTCTGGGAGGCAGATGAGGTCATGGTTCTTTTCCGACCAACTGTGGCAACCCTGTTTGATGGATAAGCTCTGCGTGCCTGTGTGCGCCTGCGCGAGCCTGTGCGCATGCGTGGGTGTGTGTGCAGCTGCGCGTGTCTGTGTGCGCCTGCGCGTGCCTGTCTGCACGTGTCTGTGCGCCTGCGCGTGCCTCTGTGCGCGCATCCCTGCTTGGCCCGTGGGCCCTTCTGCTGCTGCTCCTGCTCGCTGTGCCCTGGCTCAGTGTCCCATCTCTCTCTCTTTCAGACCACATTTAGTCGGGGGTTCACGAAGAACATGAAGCTCGAAGCCGTCAACCCCAGGAACCCAGGAGAGCTCTGCGTGGCCTCTGTTGTCAGCGTGAAGGGGAGGCTGATGTGGCTTCACCTGGAAGGTACGCTGGCTTCGCCCCCGCCCTGGGGAACCTAGGGTCCGCCTGGAAGTGGCGAGGTACACACGGTGCTTCTCAGAAGGAACCCCTTCTGCTTTCCTTTTGCTTAACCAGATCCTAAATGATTCAGGAATCCTAAGCAAGTGAAACTAATCAAATATAAACTTGTTCAGAGGCTCTCATCTTAACTAATAATTTCATGAAATGAGATGCTGGTGTGATAATCATGTTTGGAACACAGTGGTCTTTTTACATCTATGATTATAAAAGCTAATGTCACAATTAAATTAACACGAGTCACTAAAAGTGGTATTTGAGGTCTTGGTTATTATGGGGATATATTTATATATTTGCATTTTAATATGAATAATACCCTTTTACTTTGGTTCCTTCCACAGATGTTTAATTTTACCTTGAAATAGTCACTGGAGATGACTTTCTCCCCAAATATAATAATACACAAGATTTGTTTGTTTAATGATGTTTGAACTGTTTCTCATAGCTACTTTTTTTTATAACTGCAGATAATTCAGAGAACATTATGCTTTATAAGCGGAACCATGATCAGATTTTAGGTTGAGATAGAACACTGGTTTTTTATAGGTTATATTTTAAATGAGAAGGAATTAAGTCTGATCTGTAAGGTTTTCCCATTTTTCCGTGCTCTAAATTTTTGGGGTTTGTTGTTTGTTTTTCTTATTTTCCTGGCATTCATAAGTTATTTTAAATATATATGAAAAAAAAAAACAAGACTAGTTATGAACAATAAAGTTAGTTCTCTTGGCCCGTATCTCAGCCATCATGCTATGCTCCTACCACCACTGGTATGAAAATTTGCAAGGTCGCAGAACTGGTACTAATCTCGTCATTTTGTCTCTTTAGTAAGCAAGTCTAAGAAGCACCAGAATTCTGAGGCTGATGATCTCGATCTCAGAAATATTGTAGTCCAAGTGAGCGGGAAGGATAGAGAGCAGTGATTGTACGTGAACATTATCTGTGTCGTTAATTCCTAGAAAAGTAGTTTAAAACATACTGTGGTTTAGGGTTTCAAAATCAATGTGCAATAAAAGGAAATTCTCCAAAAGTTGATTGCTTGGGGGATTTTCAAGTAAAATGGCTTGTAGGTGGAATTAGCCAAAAAGTAGACAGAGGTATGATGGTGATATTTCTGTAGCTACAGGAATAACACATGACCTTATTTTCACTACTATATGTAAAGTTGAGTCAACTGCTGTAGGAAAAATAAGATTCCTCCTGTGATTTCCAGTCCCTACATTAAACCTGCTTGCCTAATACTGTGCTAAACCACATTGCGAGATTGGGGTCGTGCTTGCATTATTAATTGGAAAACAAAAACGGTAGAGTTCACAGCCCATGTTTCACGTTATGATGTAGCATATTACTGTTAAAGTTCTTTGGCAGTCATTATTTATTTAGCAGTTTTTACTTACATAGCGCTTTACAGCTGTTAATTACCTAACACAGGCAACAGTGAGAGAGTCCTGATTTTTATAGATGGAGAAACAACGGTAGCTAAGCTGTGAAGATATGCATGGGGTCAGTTTCCTTGTCCTTGACATCTTTGTTGGTTAATTCATCAGACCTCACAGCTTTCCAGTTCTTAAAAAGAATGAGAAGCAGCAACATTTAGCCTATATTGAACATTTTTGACAGCCTTTTCTCCTTATTACTGTTTTTCTTTGGATAGAAATTTCTGTTTTTATAGCGAAGAAACGTGAGGCAGCTCCCATCGGCTCTTATTCTCCAGAGCGCTTTCTTATCCTGTAGCAGTGAAATCACCATTAGGGAGCAGATCAGAAAATAGATTGTCAATTTTTTTTCCAGACTGACATACTGAAAAAAGAAAATCTTTTTTTAGTAAACAGTTTGTTGCATATTATTTCCTGGAGTCCTTGGTCAGAATCATGTGTTTGATCAAAAAAGTAAAATGCCATTTTGTCTATTTTTCTTGCTTGAATTTGTTCTGTTTAGGACCTTCCCGAATATTACTTTTAAAGTCACAGTGAGCTTGGTGACTCTTACTTCTCATTGTTTCACAGTTTTATGTATATAGTATTTTCTGTCTTCAGTCCTGGGAATAAATGCTAGAGATTCACCATGGTAGCTATGTGGCTGTTAAATTATTTTTATGATGATGGGGATTCTGATTATAGACCATTTATTTACTTGACACTGTAAATGTAGAAAGTATTTTGTAACAATTTATTAGTTATTTTTATGCATTAAATTGATTTGAAGTAGTTTCAACACATGGCTAATTGACCACTTTTAGGTAATTAAAATGATCATTTTTAATCTACTAGTTCTTCTCTTGAAGTCAGTTCTTTAAGTGTCTATAAAAGAGCTGATGTCAAGGAGCGGGCCATGAATGAAATACAGGAGATGGAGGTGGTACTATCTTAGAAGCATATTTAAAAAGAATTGCAAGCTCTCACTACTGATGGGTGGCAAGTACAATTTATGATGATGGGGTTTTTGTGTTTGAGAGAGGACGTTGTAGTGCTTTCTCTTCTGTGTTAATACTCTGCTTCAGGTGATTTGATGTATAACTATAAGCGTTGGCCATGTAGCATGAGTTGCTCTCAGTGGTGATGCTCCCAGCCTTGCAGCCCTGCGCTCTTGTGTCTGCATCCCCACACGCCGCACCACTTCATGTGCCTTCCAGATCTTTGTCTCCAGGGATAGGATGTGGGTCTCCCACCCATCCTCAGGGCACCCCCACTCCCTTCCACCCGTCCTCAGGGCACCCCGGTCCCTTCCACCCATCCTGAGGACACACCCCACTCCCTTCCACCGGTCCTCAGGGCGCCCCCTCTCCCTTCCACCCGTCCTCAGGGCGCCTCCCTCCCCCTTCCACCCATCCTCAGGGCGCCCCGCTCTCCCTTCCACTCATCTTCATGCACCCCTGCACCCTTCCACCTGTCCTCAGGGTCCCCCGCCTTCTACCCGTCTTCACGACATTCCCACTCCCTACTCCCTTCCTAAGAGGGCTTACATCTTTGCCTTCCTTTGCTTCTATTACTTTTTATTTTTTTTATTCTTTTTTTTTTTTTATTACTTTTATTCTTCTGGCTGAGGCAGAAATTCCTCCTATGCCATAAAAGGGATGGTGACCAGCAGGCTTCATTTCTGCAGAATTATTTAACTCTTTTAGGCGATGCTGCTTCAGAAATTTTTGAAGAGAGCTCTGGAAGGGGATACCAAAACCTGGTTTGCCATTGGGAGCGCTCTTACTTGTGAAAAGGGGCAGGGGACTCACAGTAGGCCTTCTTGTGCTTTGCATGTGGGGAGGGAATGATGCCCTGTAGGAGTTCTTACCCACTGCTTTCGGTTCTGTTTATTATTAAAACACAAACATGCAGGGGACCAGCACAGTCAGCGAGGGAGGGAGTGGTCTGCTTCTTGGGGACACTTGGGATCAGCCGCCTTTCCTCTGTTCCAGACCAGCCCGCCGTTGCCTCTCAAAGCCTCCCTGTCTATCTGCCACGCGCCTGCTTAAGGCCTCGAGGCTGGATCGTCTGGCTTCTTGCCTTCCTTGTCCTCTCGCTTTGTAGAGCTCCGATGAGTGAGTGAGTGAGCATGTGGGCAAATTGAGTGCATGAGGTAATGTGCTAAGTAAGGCTAAGGAGGTTTCTTGCCCGAGCCCCTTGGTGGCAAAGTTGATTCCATGAGACATAGGGATGAGGGCCCAAGCCAGGTGGCCATGAAGACATATTTAATGGAGGGATTAGGCCGTTCCTGTAACAGATTCCTGGAAATTCAGTCTGTTTTGGATAGAACTGAGAATGTGCTGAAATTCCTAGAGTGGTCCCAGTTCCACAATGTCTGTTTACATTAGTGATGAGACAGGCCCATTAGAGAATCTGCTGTAGGTGACTGACACTCAGGAAAAAGCACTTGCACATGTATGTAGTTTTTGTGCAACTTCAGACCATCCACAGAGCCTCTCAAAACCGTTCTTGGACGGGCCTCCTTGGAATTCATGCACCCCAGATCGGAACCCCTGTAGGAGACATTCTCAGGATATATCAGTAGACATTAGTTTTGTGTTGTCCACTGTGTGGCTTCTAGCCACGGGTGGCTCCTTTGTTTTAAGTTAAACGGAATCATAATTTCGGTTCCCGCGTTGGGCTGTCTGTGGTCATGCACTGTCACGTGAGGCTGGAGGCTGCTGTTTGGGACAGCTCCTGGACGTCCACCTCCTTACAGAAGGTTCTTTTGGGCAGCACTAGTTCCAGATGCTCCGCTTGAGGAAGAAGTGAGCCCCTTAGGCCTGTCGAGGCTCAGAACTCAGATTTTCTTGGGGTGTGGGAGCAGTAACATGCAGGGTCCTCTGATCAGTAGCTCAATGCCAGGCTGTACATTTCATTTATCATCCAGGGGAGTGAGGTTTTAGGACACAGAGAACTTAGGAACAAGATGGAGAGTCTCTCTGCTCCGGGGTCAGCCAAGAAGCACGGTGTTTCCAGCAGGACGGGATTGTGCCGGGAAGCAAGGTCCCTCTATGATCACTGAGCAGGCTCTTCTTCTCAAGGACGTGGTGGCATCCCCCAAGGGCAGGAAGCTTTAGTTGCTGGTCTGCTGTGGGCTTCAGCCACAAAGCATGTCGAGGGTACAGTGGCACTGCTGCTGTAGCTCTAGCCACCCTTAAAGCTTAAGAACAGAAAGGGAAGTATTGAGTCTAACTGTTACAGACTTCACGGCCTCGCTTGCTGGCGGTGAGAACCACAGGAAGATCAGCCCTGCCTCCTGCTGTCCTCCCACAAGTAGAAAACTGTCAAGGGAGCTTGCTTTGTCCCTAGGATCTAGTGCACAGGAGAGGCTGGGAGCTCCATGTCTCAGATCTCCATCCGCTGTTGGCCATAACCAGCTTTTCCCTTTGCCTGCCGGGTCACGAGAGAAAACCTGGTTCTGCGGCAAATAGAATATACAAGGTCTTCAATCACCTGCTGCTGTGATGGAGGTGTATTCCTTTCATGGAG